TTTTCTTTTAACCAACTGCCGTATTTTCCGGCCTATAAGTCGTACCAGAGTATGAGTCGCATCTGTACAAAAATGTCTAATAATTTGGAGAAATCCAGAAATAAGTCGCTTCGTCATATACGTTGCACCTATTATGTGTCACCACTGATGCGTTGCGTTTGTTACATGTTACTACTGACAACCCAGAAATGTGGGCTGAACCTGGAAATGTGGGCCAGTGTTGTGCCAAAAATCAATTGGCTGCCAAATGGTGGCTGTGGGAGTGAGCACGGGAGGACTTTAACAAGAATTTAACAAGATGAACACTTAAAAACAATTATTTGTTTGCTTGAAATTATAGCAAATGTGTGTCTTAGTTTAACTTTTACTTAATAAATGCACTTTGATGGTCAAATCAGTTGCAATTCAAAAACTGATTCTTGGAAGCAGGAGCGTGAAGAGGGATGACTAGCTGTGCATTTCTTCGAAATTTAACACGATAGCCACCTAAAAACAATTTTTTTGGTCGATATTATAATAAAGATGTGTCTTAGTTGAACTTTTCCTTCGTAAATGCACTTTGACAGTCAAAGCATCTGTATTTCAAAAGTATTTGCTGCCTCTGTGCTCCGGGAGTGTACAGAGGAAGGAAATCAGGAAGGAGGAACACTGCACATTTCTTCAAAATTTAACAAGATAAGCACCTAAGACAATTGTTTGTTTGCTTGATATTATAGTAAAGGTGTGTCTCAGTTGAACTTTTACTTAATGAATGCACTTCAGTGGTCAAATTGGCTGCATTTCGCCGAGGTAGCGCAGCGAAATGAAGTTGATTTGACAGTTGTTGCAGGCGAGCTGTACGAAGGTCGCAGTCTATGGCAAGCCGATTGTGTCATTAATAGCCACTTTTACCTATTACATGACACAAGGGCATGCCTCAGTACTTGAATACCATCTAGTGGCTGAAAATGGTAGTGTTCAATATTTACAATGTCAGAAAGAATGAAAACAATAATATCAGTTGAAAAGAAGTTTATAAATATGGGGAAAAAATCAATAAATAAGTTGCTTCGGCGTATAAGTCGCAGGGTATGCAAATTAGGCAAAAAGGTGTGACTTATAGGCTGGCAAATACGGTAAATAAAAATAAAAATATATAATAAGATGATGCTGTGGTAAAAGTCTTCATGATCTTGTGATCCATGGCTTTTAAATGCCTTGTCTGACAGGAAAATATTAATTCAGTCCAGATCAGGCAGAAAAATTGACTGGGAGGACAGTTTGAATGAATGAAGCAAGCTGCTATTTGTTCTATTTTAAAATATAAACTGTCATGAAAGCACACATGCATTTAGGTAAAAATGTTAAATATCAAGTTTGGTGATACTTCCCTCGAGTATCTGCTTTGTACCACAAATCTGAACATACCTCCATCCATTATCTTCCACTTGTTCTGATGTCGGGTCGTGGGGGCAGCAGCTTAAGCAGGGAGGCACGGACCTCTCTTTCCACAGCCACATCTTCCAGCTCTTCTGGGAGGATTCCAAGGTGTTCCCAGACCAACTGAGAGACGTAGTCTCTCCAGCGTGTCCTGGATCTTCCCCAGGGTCTCTTCCCAGTCGAACATGCCCGAAGTACTTATTTAGGAAGGTGCCCAGAGAGCATCCTTACCAAATGCCCAAACCACCTAAAATCTGAACACGAAAACCAAAAACGTTTTCTAGAGCTGAACCCTCGCTGGATCGCTCAACATTATTCTTGAGTTGGAGCTTTTTCAAATGTCAACTACTTATTACCTTGTGAATATTTCCCATTGTCATCATCAGTCCCTGAAGCACTGCTATGATGTGAATGCTTTCTTCAGCTGTACTTAGGAGATACATTAAAGGTTGGTGTCCATGAACTCAGATGTGTTCTAGATATGAAGATGTCCAAAGTAGGGCAATTAAATGCAATGTCAGAACCCAGCCAGCTGGCCCACAATAATATGATATACTGTAATATCACTGTACAGACACCCCGTCTTTGTGTGTAAAGCCACATTTTGACAATTTGATGTAGTTGCCATGTGGAAAACCAACAGCATCCCAAGAAAGATAAGTTTTTTTATTGTTTTGATTTTAGTGAACTCCAAAATTAATGCACATATTATCAATATTAAGTGTGTTTAATAAGCTTGATTTAAATCAAATACACAAAATAATATATATATATATATATATATATTAGTCCTTAATATTTGCATTTTTTATGTGCTAAACATTTTCATGTGAGAATAAAAATGCACATATGTATTTTGAAAATTTTATTGTGGCAGATTACTTTCATTACATCACAGCTTTAATAGCAGGTTGACTGTTATTTGGAACCTGAACACACAAGCAGACCCACTATCCTCTCAACAATTTTTATATTCAAAGATTCCCATGGTGTACTGCGGGACAGTTCTGGTCGTGCAATGTGCCTGGAATGTACTGTTTAGCAATCAGAGCTGCAGTCAGTCACCTGCTTGGGCATGCAGGAACATAAGAAGGACGAGACAGCCTTGACATGAGGTTTCGCTGCGGTGCCAAGAGCAGTAAACACCTCCAACACTCAGCCTGCAGGCTAGAGTTAAGAAGGGGTTTATGACCAGCGAGATGCTTTTGATTTTGCCGCCAATTTTAGGTTTCAAGTCTTTGTGACTTGTTTTCACAATAATGCAAAACAGGAGATTAGTTAAGTCCAGTATGATATATCAGGCAACCACTGGTCGAGTGTCAGTTACAGATTTTTCATCCATCCGTCCATCCATCATCCATGATTATAGGAAACATTTGGTACAATAATCCCATATGTGTTACACTGAAATCAGAGAACATACATACCAGTTTTGCATTTATACAATATTGTGTTTTTTTTTAATTATTTTTACCTGTGATGGTATAAAGTATATCTTAGTGTATATCTTATTGTTTCTTTTTATACTTCATATTTTTGCTATTTTTGGGTGTAACTGGGACCCTGAGTGAATACTTTCATTCCACCTCATGTACCACATGGGATGCGAATGACAGTCCACTTGACTTGAACTTGAAACAAGTACAAATTATGCAGAAAAACCATCTAATAGTGTAGCAAATAATCATGGGACTTTATGATTTTGAGCCTTTAAATTTCAAACGTGTTCTCATCTTTGTTATGAGTTCTTTAAGATAGTGATACGATCATAATTTACAATCACCTTCTCGGTCACCTGAAGCAGCTTCTTGACATTTAGTATTAAAGCCTCAACATTACGGTCATCAATGGGGATGGCTGTGGCTGAATGGTTAGAGCAGTCGTCCTCCAATGCAAGAGTTGGGGGTTCAATTCCACCTGGAGTCACATGCCCAAGTGTCCCTGGGCAAGACACTGACCCCCCTGTTGCATCTGATGTGTCCCATCAGTGTATAAATGTGATAAATCACTGATTATTATCTGTAACTATATAGAGGGCTGTATGAATGGGCAAATGAGAATGAGGGCACAGATTGTAGTGTAAAGTACTTTGAGTATCTTGATAAGGTAGAAAGGCGCTATATAAGTACAGTCCATTTACCATTTATCAAATTCAGTGAGGTCTTTCTAATTTAATTGCTTGTTTGTATGTAACTATAACCCTAAATAAAGCTTTAAAACTACAATTTGAGACTGAATAGTTCATGCATCAAGACCAACCCTTATTTTAAACTTCCTTCCTCTTGAAGCATGACATAATGTATTTAAGAAAAAGATCAAAACTGAATTGTTAAAAAAGTATATATGAAGTAGCTTAGTGTGTGTTTTGTATTAGAATTAGAAAAATTAGAAAGCTATTCATTTTGTTCTGTTACTTGAAGATTATTATGTCTGAAATAATTGTTTGAAAAAAAGGGGCAGATATAATAAGATTTTTTCTTCTTTCTGCTGCCTTTCATTTTAAATCTTTTGTATCTTTTTTATATTGTTATGGAATTGTTTTGTACTTTTTTAAAATTAATAAACTATATACCATACCATACCATACAAAATATCAGAATCAACAGGCATCTCTACATACATCCCACTGAGCTTTACTGTTGATTGAATCATTTGATTTGTGATCTTGGAAACATTTACATTTGGTGTTGTTTTTGTTTTTATGAAAATAACAACAAGAATAAATCTAATGACTAATTTGACATTAACTTTAAATTTAAAACATTATAGCTTTTTGATGCATACAGTCAGCAGCTGACATACACTCATCAAAAGCATGAAAGTCATTAATTTAGGGTTTTTAATTTTTTTAACCTTTCTTTTTCCAGGGTGAAATGATTATACAGTATACACCTTCAATAGATTTGAAAATTTAGATAGATAGATGGGCAGATGCATGAACAAACAGACAGATGGACAGAAGGATGACTAGACATCCAGCATGCACAGGGAAACTCAACAATTCAATTGTTTGTCATTGTTTGTCTTTCTATATCATTTATTTGAATGACAGTTTTAATATTAGGTATTAGGGGAATACAATTTTTATTTATTTTTCCAAGTTTTTATTTCAAAGACTCATTGAAAAGTTGTTGGAAAGGGAGAAATTTTGACACGCCATCAACTGTCAAAGTTACGCAATGACGAGGCGTTTCTTATGATCTCAAAGTTGCACCTGTTGGACTTCACGCTGCTTTAAGTTTGACACCAGGAATTCTCCAACTGTGATTTAAATCTGCAACTGCATGCTCAGAATGTGTGCGTCAGGGTATGTATGCATACTGATGAATGCGTGTTTGTGTACGCCAACCACCCCATCCAACATCAATGCATCAACGCAGTCGCCGTGCGGTGTGAAAATATCCATGGGAGAAATGTCGGAAGAATGAGGTGGGGGGTTTATTTGGTTACAGAGGTGTCCTACAACCTTTTTAAGGTAAAACACATTCATGTACAGCTCCAATTACAGACCTCCGGCCTTCCTTTTCCTATTGGCAAACGCTGTCGTGTTCGTGTCTACGCCTCCAGCTAGCTTTCTTCACCTCTGTCCTGCAACAAAAGTATATAAGGACGGCATTAAGCTGTCACATGGTCCACTTAACGAAAACTACCTTTACTCTTAGTTACAGTGAATCTGAGGCAGGTCCATCACTGTAACTTCAACAACAAGTCCAACCTAGGACTCATGGTTGAAGATGCCCACTACTAGCAGAATCATTTCAGAAACCCGGATGTCGAATAAAGGTGAGTTTCATTTTAAATATTTGAAACGTTCTAGCAAACTAAATTTTATTTGATAGGTTTTTCTTCTGGTGACACAAGAAAATGGTCAAAGTAGACATTTTGATAATATTGCAACATCGAGCTTTTTTACAATCATCTAATCATTTTATATAAAACAATTTAGTCAGTTTCATAGATGCTTTTAATTATCTACTGAGGCAGATCCCTGGGGAATGGGTCATATGAGTTTATGTCTTCTTAGAAAGTGTGATCACTCACTCGGTAATTTCATGCCTGACATTATGAGGCATTTAGAGTGGTTTTATGGCCTGGAGGCAAAAGTCTGCACGTGTCAACATCATTTGTGCTAAAAAGGATTTCACACTGTTAGGGAATAAATTTAACACTCTACATGATGTTAATTTGAATGTGGATTAGAGCAGAATTATAGAATTGTAAAATAATGCTAATTAACTAAATGATAACTGAATCAAATGTCATTGACATTAAAACAAATCATACACTTTATTAAAATGGGTAGGACGTCGGTCATCTATGCTGAAAGATCTGCTATAAATTGCATCACAACCTGATTAAACAGCTCTACATGGGCAGACGTGGTGACCACACTGAGGTTAAACGGTTGGTGTCAGGTTGTAATGAGGCCACACAAAGCAGACATTTTCATCACTCTGTGCTACATCCAAACAGGTGGCACAGAACATCCTAACAGTCTTGTTCTGCCTCCAATCAACACAGATATTTTTACTAACTGATAGATGTGGCACCCATACTGCATGGTGTAAACAAGCCATACTAAATGAGTAATACATATCTAAATTAGTACAGGGACATTTTGTAATCTAAACTGTAAAAATAAATTTAATGCAAATTGTTCTGTTATTCTCTTTAAATTAAGGTTTTTTTTTCCTTCCAAGTTTTCATAAATACTTCTAATGTTGCATGATGATTATTTGTGATACTTTATTTTGGAGTTGATGATAGCCATTGATATAAATAACTCACTGCTTATGCATGTCAGTTTAACATCTCAATGCTGTGTCATTGAGATGTAAGTCATCCCTTCTCTTGCTCTCATCCTCAATCAAACAAAACTAGAATGTTGTGTGCTTACACTAGCAAGCTACTGCAAACTGAAACTAAAATTAATTAGCTTTTACTTTGAAAGATGCAGTCACAGCTTAAAGTCAACATTTACACATCCACTTATGATAAGGGGCTATTTATTAGACAGTTTGTTGCAGCTTCTCAGACTGATGAAGTCTTTTGGATTAAAGATGAAACGTGTCAACAAATTTTTTTTTTTTTTTTTGAATCTGTCCAGAGAACTCGACTTCACTTTGTGAGATTTTTCTACCTGTATTATCGAGCGTGCATCAGGCTAGTTAAACAGCAGTTTGTAATTATAAAAGATTTTAAATCAGTTTTATTAACTTCTCTAAAATCTCCAGTTGATATTTACCGCAATGCACCAGCGCAGGATCAGCTTCCCTAGCTTATCTGATTTGTACAAACAAATAACATCAGTCATCTCTGCTGATAATCTGCTCTGAGCTCCAGGCTGAGCTGTGGTGTGAACGAACCCGACCCTGCGGCATGCGAGGTGTCTTTGTAATTTCAGCTGCCTGGTATGAATCAGCCACAGGCTCCAGAAAACATGCAGTGCTGATGTGATGATCTGCAAGAGGCAGATGGGTTTCTAAGTATACACTTTATTTTTTGATATCAGACTCTCCCTTCATCACCTGTTGAAACACACCTCGCTTTATGCATCGAATATGATAAAGTCAAAAACATGATCTTATTGGTTGATTTGGTAGAAGCAATCATTTTATTTTTGTTTTACAGCTAAGAAAACCAAATCCGAAAACACACCCACAGGTAAGTAGTACTCTTATTACCAATGTATTAATTATGGAAAATTTTCAAATGCTTTATTTTAAAAAGCTTATGTATTTGTTGCTTTTATTCATCAGAGAAGACTCCAGTTTATGAACCAAATATTCCTGAACCCAAATGCAGAGCTGACCTCATCAAACGTAAGTTCATTTTCAAAGTTGTATTTTATTGTTTCACAACGTCTTTTATAAAGTAAATGTTTGTCCTCGCTCTTTTTAGACTGGATTAACTTGTCCTTAGATGACCGGACAGCGAATAAGGTGCTGTGGATCACAGAAGGAGGGGCTAAAGTGGCCCGTATGACTGATGACATTACATGTCCTGTCTTGGATAGACCAGAGAGATTTGAATATGCTCCACAGGTATATTTATTGTTTAACTGCTTCTTTGGTCAAACAGCATGGCATTTATTAATGATCACCCCCTTATTAAGTTGTGTAAGGAACTTGAATTTTTAGTTTAAGGCTCACTCACAGCGCTTTGAAACTGCTACAACGGACACTCTACGGGAACAAATTTGGCTTAACTGTATTTAAGACTTGTGCGTCACTTGTGTGTGTTTTGCCCCCTAGATTAATGCAAACTGGCTGTGAAGACTTGGATCTGCACATACAAATTCTACAAGACTTGTAAAAAAAATCAAGAACGCATACAATTTTACCAATCCTGTACTTCTGGTGTATGCCTGAACTATGTCAGGCGTACAGCACAACAGGAGCTTTGGGATAACAGTAAAATACGAGACACACAATTCAATTCTTGCATGATTCATTTGCCTTAAAGGTACAAGTACTTCATGCTTGCTATTCTTAGGGCCCTCAAGTCAGATGCAAATCTGGATTTCTACCAACATGTATGGTGAGCATGCAGCACATGCTACCTAAACACAACATGTGGGTCAATCCAAAGCCAATTGCACAAGTCAGCATCAAATGTGGCATATATTTATGTGATGCTCTGTCCTCACTCCTGTTTTGCATAGGCCTGAACCCCCTCAGCCAGATCATTGCTAAGACTGACTACAAATACCATTTCCAAAGGAGAACAATCGTCAGTCACATCCTCTACATGTATGACATCAAGCTACATGCCAAAAATGAGTGAGACATTGACTCACTTATCTGCCTAATCAGGATTTACAGTAAGGATATTGGAATGCCATTCGGACTAGATAAATGTAGCCAAAGTATAAGCATAAAAGTCAAGCTGATCACAACTTACGGGGTTGAGCTAGCTTGAGGCAACATTGCTGGTGTCCAGGACAGCTACAAATATCTGAGAATCCCACAAACAGATTACAATCATGACATTCATGCTGCAAGAAAGTCAGTGACAACTAAGTACTTACAGAGAGTAAGGCAAGTTCTGAAGAGTCAGCTGAATGACAAACAAAGTCCTAGCCATCAACATATATACAGTGCCAGTCATCAGACACCTAGCTAGTATAACAACCTGGCCAAAGGAGGAGATAGAAGCCACTGACATTGACTCAAAAGCTGTTCGCAATGCATGGAGGATTTCACCTCAAGTTCAACATCCCAAGACACTAAGAAAAATTAGGGTGGCAGAGCATTAATGAGTATCTGAGTCACTATACAGGATAAAACAGTCCTGGAATACATCAGGAAGAAAGACCCCAATGATGAACTGGTAGGTGAATGTCTCAGGCAGCAGAAACTCCAAGGTAGAGGAGGAGGAACAAGAGGCACTATCATGGAAAGGCAAGCCCCTGCATGGCATGTACCACTGGTAGTTTGAGGAAGTGGCTGATATCAACAAAAACAGCTAGACTAAATAACAGCACAGAGGCAATTATCATAGCAGCTCAAGAGCCACAGGGGCCAGGATCTACCGTAACAGACAGGACTCAAGATGCAAGCTGTGCAAAAATATTCTTGATACTGTCCAACATGCAGTAGCAGGATGTAAGATACAGGCAAGCAAAACATAGATGGAATGCCATAATAAGTGGCTGGAAATGTGTACAGGAACATCTGTGCTATGTATGGACTGGATAATCCCACAGTCAAAAGTGGGAGACCCCATGAAGGGTGATTGAGAATGGCAGGGCTAAGATACTGTGGAACTTCCAGATACAGACTAACAAACAGGTAATGTCTAACCAACTGGACATTGTGGTGGTCGACAAGCTACAGAAGAAGGCAGTGGTGATAGATGTAGCAATCCCAAATGACTGTAACATCAGGAAAAAGGAACACAAGAAGTTCAAGAAATACCAAGGGCTGAAAGAATAAATGCAGACGTTGTGGAGATTCATGCCATTAGTAATCCCCATGGTCATTGGAGCACTTGGTGCAACTCCACTGAGCTCTTGACTTATTGGTTCTTCTCAGGTAAAGGTGATTTGCCCCTATGACTTGTTTCCCCACTCTGTGGACAGGACCATCAGTGCAAAGTGGGCGGTAATGTAACAGGTCATTGTATTTGAGCACCTCTGCTGTAATCCTTAATCACCCTATAATTGGACTTTAGTTTTTGTTTTAGCTTATCCTGGCAATGGTGTAGCCATGCTGCACCATCATCTCTGATATCTCTGGAAATGTGTTTATTTCTTGTGGCACCATCCAGCTCTCGCTGAATCCAAATATCAGCCAATAAAGTAAGAAAGGTCTAGGCCTCATCATTGGTCCATGGCACTATATTGGGAGCTTCCATTCCAGAAAAAAAGCAAAAACAACACACTCAACATGACCAGAGAGTAAATGGAGGTTCAAATGTAGTTTGCAGTTTTGCTGGGTGTGTCATTCAATGACGTAACCAGTCAACGGCTTCTGTCTGCTTATGTCAAAATAGTCACATCATAGCAGTTCATTTGGAACCATGAAAAGGTGGTCCCATAAACCAGGCTGAGTGGGGATGGGTACCAACAGTGGACAGGCCCTTAACTGCTGCAATGTGGAACTGATGAGAGATGAGACTGTAGCAACTCAGTGGTACTTCCAGATCCAAACTGACAAACGGGTGCTGGCTACCCAACCAAACATTGTGATGATTGATAAGCTACAGAAGAATGCAATGGTGATAGCTGTAGCAATTACAAGTGACTGTAACATCACGAAGAAGGAGCAATAAAATATTGAGAAATGCCAAGGGTTGAAAGAGGAAATAGTAAAGTTATAGAGTCTAAACATCAGCAGTCCCAGTGGTCATTGAAGGGATCATTGGTGCTGTGACCTCTGAACTGGAAGAGTGGCTCCAACAGATCCCAGTAACAACCTCAGAAATCTATGTCCAGAAGAATGTAGTTCTGTGCAGACCCCTCAAGCTCCCATGCCTCTAGAACTGAGCTTCAAATGAAGTGGAACAACCAATGTGGGAAAAAATAGGGTGAGCTGGGTTTAGTTTATAAATGTATATATATACTGTCATCCCTCATTTATCGCGGGTGTTAGGACCCCCCCCCCCCCCCAACCCCACAATAAGTGAAAAACCACAAAGTAGGGATACAGTAGTACAAGTTCAAGTTCAAATAAACTTTATTGTCATTACCATCTCATGTGGTACATGAGATAGAACAAAATTATGTACACAAGTAGTAGTAGTAGTAGTAGTAGTAGTAGTAATAGTAGTAGTAACTAGTAGTTTATTTTAGTATTTACTATAGTCGTTGTAAGTAGTAATTTATTTTAGTATTTATATATAGGTATACTATATATTAGCATTTTAAACCCTTCCCACGCACAGCGACCGTCTGCTACTGTAAAGCCTCCAGTATACTCGTGCGTACGTGGGTCCGCGGAGCTCCGCGTGTACCGGATTAGAGTCGAAGCGGACACCCGCAGGGCTTGTCCTTGCGATGTTTCGAACAATTTTCTAAACTCTTAAACATTTTATAAAATATACATTTTAAATGGGCATTCACCAGAGAAGATGAAGATAAACTAGAAGAGATGGAGATGAATGTGATATGAAACCAGGCACTTTGGCTTCGTCATTCATAATAAAAGTGCGAAATGGCATCCTTTTTCAGAACTGGCCCGTTTCGTCCACATTAAAAACTTGTTCAGACTTGTAGCCCACCTTGGCGATCAGATTTTTGAACTTGTGGTAACAAACTCCTCCACTCCTGCTGTCAGCAGACGCAGCCTCTCCATGCAGAAAAATTCAATATAGAATTTTATAATATTATAATCCAAATCGTTTTTATCCAAAGTGATGATTTTTTTATTTCTTCCTGCAATCATTAATCCAAACAACCAGTGCAGCTTCCATCTTAACAATCATGCCGTAGCTGACCGACAACAACCGCGTAGGTACGGCAAGCTTAAAGTTTGTCCAGAAGTTCCACTTTCTCATTAATCGTCAGCATCCTTTACTGGCATTTCAATTCCCTGCCAGAAACTTTTGAACATGCAGAACGTTTGGGAGCCGTCCAGTTGAAAAAGAGCGGAGGTAAACAAACCCACTGTTACTAGTGTAACAGCGACCGTCTGCTACTGTAAATCCTCCAGTATACTCGCGCATACGTGGGTCCACGGAGCTCCGCACGTACCGGATTAGAGTCGAAGCGGACACCCGCAGGGCATGTCCGTGCACAGCTCAATTTTTATGACCGCGTACGCGTACTCGGTGTCGCACAATAAAATGCCCGGCGACGGACTGTTTTGTATGCAACACCAATGTATTAAAGTCCCCTTCTTCATCCCTGATCTGGTTTAATGGCCTTTTCTTTAGTTTTTTCCAAGAGGCAAGCAATCTCTTCCTCCTCTTCCGTTAACGACATGACTGAAATGGTAAGAAATGAAGGAATTTGTCATGAGAGAATTAAAATCAGGTCCAGCGTGGCTGCGGGAGGGTCTGGAGATTTCCTGGTGGGCTGGTCTGATGCAGGGCCAGCGCTCCTTGTTTTTTTTTTAGAACTTTTTAATAACAACATGTAAACAAAGAACACCGCTGCGGTTGGGGCTGCCAGCTCTCTCTTTTTTTTTTGCGACCTGTCAATCAATACAGTAGGCATGTCAACAAATGACCAATCGACGACCTCAATTTGTTCCGAAGGTAAACGCCCCTTGTCTGCAGAGCTGCTCTGCAGCCGCTCAGGGTGGACGGTTGAGTATGAAGTCTCAACCCTCTGCGGACAGTGCGCTCAGTTTCTACACGACTGACAAGACATGAAAGTATACTGGAGCCTTAACAGCCAATCAGCGGCCGGGTTAAACAGAACTGATGGTTTCTGAGCCAATCAGTGCCCGGGTTACTAAGCATTTTGGTAAAAAAAAGCAATTCTGGCATTTTGGTTTGCCGCCAGAAACTTTTGAATGCACAGAACATTTAAAAACTGTAATGCAGTAGCAACACTTGAAATTTAGTTGGAAAAAAGTGAAGGTAAACAGACGGTAACAGCCAATCAGCACCCAGTTACTAAGCGCAATGCTCTGTTTCTTAAAGAGACATGTCCTGACATGATTTATACTTTCTTGTGAATCTTATGTTTGTAAAGTTGAATTTTGTTTAAAAAAAAAAAAAACTTTTCCATGTGACATGAATTAAATTTCTAATTTGAAAGGCCAGTTCAGCAGCCATGACTTCAGTTTGCAAAAGTACTGTTTGTCAAAAAAACAGCAGTGGCACTATAGCATTGAATTGAGGGCAATATAGTCCTTATGAGAGGCCATTACTGTATAGTTGGGGGTTGAATGAAAGAAAACTACAAAATGTTCGAATTATTATTTTTTTGTCAAAAGTTGAACTGCTAAATTTTTACTGATTTTGTATCGATCTATATTGTACTGGACCTCATTAGCAGTATCATAAACCAAGCTTTGTTTTTTATTTTATTTTATTTAAATTCCTAATAATTGCACTTACATTTTAATCTATTCTCTAAAAGGTTCTTTGCAAAGAAGGCATCCTGGGCTTCAGAGGCTACTGGGAGGTGGAGTTCTTTGGATGGGTTGTTGTTGGAGTTGCATACGAACGAGCTGGGAGGAGAAACAGTGAGGGACCCTGTGGCTTTGGAGAGAATGAAGAATCCTGGGGTTTCGGATGGAGTGGTTCCTGCTATCATACCTGGCACAATGGTCACAGTACAGAGATAAAAGGGATTCCTAAATGCTCTGTTATAGGTGTATATATTGATCAGCCAGCTGGTTTACTTAATTTCTATGCTGTGGAGGAGGTAAAGGAAGGAGCGGAGGAAACCTGTAGAAAGGAGGTTAAACTTGTGCAGCAGATTAGGGGCTCCTTTGAGGAAAAAATGATCCCAGGTTTTTGGGTGGGGACACAGTCTCATTGTTTGATCCTAAAAATGGAAAAATGAAGAACAAAACCAGACTCATAAAACCCGACTTAAGTGAATGAAACATAACCCCCCAATTGAACTAAATTCTCTAGGATGGCAGCTTCATACCAACAACTGAAACCACAAGATAATTTAATGTGTGTTTTATTTATTTTTTTCATTTTTTCCAAATGTAATCAAGCTAGACGTGTCCAAAACCTTTGTGGGTAACACATTAGAATCAAAACAAATGCACTCATGTTAAATGGTGTTGTATTGCAAAAGGAGCTATGTGCAATTAGAAGATTTTCTATTGACCATTCATATTTTAGTATAACTATTCCAGTCAAGGTTTATAGTGATATATTTGTATGTATAAATAGTATTTTTCCTATAATATAACTGTTTTCAAGAAGTGTATACTGTACACTTATATGAAGTTTATTTAAACTGTTAAATATATAAAATTTAATAACTAAAAATACCAACAGACTGATGAGTTATGTTACACTGTATGATAAAACAATAAAATAACTACAAATATGCTACATTGATTATAAGCATAAATATATTTATTGTTATGAAATAAAGGATTCATACAAGCTGTGTGTTTGACTGAGTGGTATTGAATACATCTTTATTCTGTGAAGATGGGCTCCTTAAAACTTGATTAATTACAACACATTTGTCCAGGCAAACCATTTGAGTGCACACTTTCTTAAATGTACTAGTAAATTCAAATTAGGGTTAGCTGCAGCATAGTGCTACTCTCAGGGATCCACAATTTTCCCTACAGCTTAAATAAAGACAATAACTCTCTAAAGTGTCCATGATCTATTCGAAAGACAAGAACAAAGTCACATATTTTGGGTAACTGAGGTCCAAGTGATAAACAAATAAATCATACAAATGTGGATAGCAGCAAATTTTCTCACTGTATTTCCTCAAGGCTGTATGATGGCACAGTTGGTAGAGCTGTTGCCTCTCAGCGAGAAGATCGCTGGATCAAATCCTGGCCGAGGACCTTTCTGGGTGGAGTCTGCACGTACTCTCTGTGAATGCATGGGTTTTCTCAAGGTTCTCCGGTTTCCTCTCACAGACCAAAAACATGCATGTTAAAATTATCAAACCTGACACATTTACAACAATGTCTTAAGCAGAAAAATGGAATATGTGGCAAGGGGAAGCCCTAGCAATGTCAAACTTGCACCAGGAACAAGTTTGAATTCATGCCAAGAATACAGAATTTGGTTATAAGGACTGAATAGCCCTAAGTGGCAACCTTATCCCCCACATGCTCCCACTGCATACCCAACAAAATCCCTTGGGGGAACATTGCTGTAGGCCTTTTCAGATCTACAAAACACATGTTGACTTAGAGTCAACCTTCCATAACCCCATCAGAAAGACCAGTAACTCTGCAAAGATAAAGGTCTGGTCTATTGACAATCGGTTGGAACTTTCTTCCCAACTTCCCAAAACCTTACCCTTAAAGAGTATGCAGTGTAATTCCCAATAGTTGAAACACACTCTCCAGTTACACTTTTTAAAAGTGAAACTACCTGCCCAGACTGCTACTCCATAGGCAGTCACAGTTCTCATTACAACATTGCAGAGAAATGTCAACACAGCAGCCCTACGATGCACAGAGTGTTAATCTCGCCCACTTCTGGATGCAAGCTGTTAGTGAGCTTTTTAACTAATTTAACAACCTCTGTCAAAATAAGTTATGCCTCTTCAAAGGTGGACATGGTGGTTAGTTTAGGGAGATTCTCAGTGTACTTCATTTACCTCTCAACAATTTCATCAGACCATGTTTGTAGTTCACCACCCAAACCAGATACAACCTAGGCCAAGCCTTACTTTCCTTCAAGTCACTGTAACTGGTTTGCCAAAACAACCTTGAGGCTGACAGAAAGTCCTTCTGCGTGGCTTCCAGAATTCCTACTATGCTAGTGTTTTTGCCACTGCAGTCTTATCACCTGGGATATCAGCTATGTCAGAAGACTCCAGTGACATCTAAAGGCTAAAGTATACTTGCGTGGACCTTTTTCTGTGCAGACTCGATGTGCACTGTCCACAGAGGGTTGAGACTTCATACACGAACGTCCACCCTGAGCAGCTGCAGACCAGCTCTGCAGGCAAGGGGCGTTTACCTTTGAGACAAATTGAAGTTGCTGATTGGTCATTTGCTGACACGCCTACTGGATTGATTGACATGTTGCCAAAAAAAAGAAAAAAAACGAGAGCTGGCAGCCCCAGCCGTGTTCTGTTTTTATATGTTGTTACTAAAAAGTTCTAAAAAAAAACGGGGAGCACTGGCCCTGCATCATCAGACCAGCCCACCAGGAAATCTCCAGAACCTCCCACAGTCACGCTGGGCCTGATTTTAATTTGCTCGTGACAAATTCCTTAATTTCTCACCATTTCAGTCATGGCGTCAACTGACGATGAGGAAGCGATCGCTTGCCTTTTGGCAAAAAACAAAAGAAAAGGTCAGTAAACTAGATCAGGGATGAAGAAGGGAAATTTAATTTTGGTGTCGCATACAAAACAGTCCGTTGCCGGGCATTTTATTGTGAGACACCGAGCACGCGTACGTGGTTGTAAAAATTAAGCTTTGCATGGACATGCCCTGCGGGAGTCCGCTTAGACTCTAATTTGGTATGCGCGGACCTCCGCAGACTGACGTACACCTGAGTATACTGGAGGCTTAAGCCCTAATGGCCTCCTTCTACAGCTTGAAAACCAACAAATTCTATAAGTTCAACTGGGACGGGCACTAGTGACTTTCTGGCCATAACTTGTAGAAACTGCTTTTGCAATGGAGACCCTGATCATACTTTGTAGTTTATTCAGATTTCTAAACCTTAATCACTTTGGTACATTTGAAAAACTCTTGTTGAGGTGTGAGTTGATATCTCACAGACAGGGCCCTCCACCAGATGTGTCCAGTACTCTCTCACTACCTAGAGTTTACCAGATGTGTCTGACAGCCTTTCCACCATAGGATCTAACCTAGCACTAGCTGGTGATCAGTTGACAACTCTGCCATTCTCTCCACGCAAGTGTACAAGACATAGGGCTGAAGGTATGTTGATGCGACTACAAAACCAATCATCAATGTATGTTCCAATCCACAGACTGCAACCCTCCCAGGACAACATTTAGAGACCAAGGAAGTTGGATAAGCTGGACTGCTGCTTGATGCATAAGCACCAACAACAGTAAGAAATCCCCCTATAGCTCAAAGCCTCAGAGAGTCAACACTGTTCTTCATCAGACAAAACTAGAACACCAAGGTGTTCTGCTAAGTAGTGACGCCACACCAGCTAAACACCTCCCTTTGGGCAACTCTAGAACTTGGAAAAAGTAACAAACAAAACCTCTCTTGGAGTTAGGTTCCAGAGCCAAAGCTGAGTGTGGATGTGAGCCTAATTATATCTAGTTAATAATATTAAACTTCACACAACAGTTCAGTGTTCAGGGCATGTTAACACTCAACATCCAAAGATCTAGTGACGTTACAAATGGGCACATCCAGACCTCCACCTTTGCCATTCATCCATCACAGGCTGCATTTGAACTCAACATATTTCCCTAATGTTGTTGAAGCATCCTGTAGCTTCTTTAGGGCTGGGCCTGGCTGAGTTCTAGGCATCAAGGCTCCCTCACCAGGTGTTTGCCAGTGAACTCTTCTCTCTGGTCCTGGAGGATTTTCCAGTTTCACTAGTTGTTTTCATTCTCTGCAATAATGAAACTGTCATACAATGTCCACTGCTGATCAGTGTTTTAACCTGGTCAACAGCTAAGGCAAAGTCATTCAAAAGTGCTCTGATCATTAATAGTCCAGGTACAAAATCCAACAATGTTCAGTCAGGTCATCTGCATGGTTTAATATATCTCCCCATTTAAAATTAATGAAAAGTGAGAAATTATATAGCAAAATGTGTTATATTATCAAATCCAACCTAATACAACATAGTATTGTATGAGTGTCATCAGCAGATATTTATTTTCTAATTTGAATATGTTCATATTGCTTACTGCACAGTACCATCCATGCTGATAATATTGACTGAACTGTTTTGTTTTTTCTGATCTTACTCTGAGAGAAGTATAAAAACATCTTCACCCTCCATTCATCATATGTATTAGGTTTCATTGAGGTCAGATGTCTACATTAGTCTTCCTCCGTGTGTCAAAGTCAAGCACATGCCCCTCAGTTGAGCCCTCATTCCACTGACACTAACACCTTTTTGAGACACTCCTAAAGCCACCATCATCTTTGTGGAGGATTTAAAACCAGGCAGAAGATGTTACATGGCTTTCTGAATAAATCAAACTGCACGGACGTGGATCGTTAACACATTAACCCTGAGATGCAGAGTAGACAAAGTTTTACAACCGTCCTCTCTGAGACCACCAAACCAGGTAGGATTTGTTTTCCAGAAGTTTTAATTTTCTAAAAATAGAAATGATCATTTGTGTTACCCTGTAACAAAAACATTATTTATGAACTCCATGCTTTAAGTCTTGAGAACAAATATTACTATTATTTATTTTTGATAGTAGTAGTAGTAAATCTACTTTTGCAAGTTATCAAATTGTGGAATTAAAAGGTACAAATCTGTAAAATAAAACTGAGAAATTTCTAACATATACCAAATATCTATTAAAGTTTCAGGAATAATCTTGCAGGTCAGATTTCCTTTTGTAGCCAAACTTTGTGTTTAACAGGAAGAAATTTCTAATTTACTATTATTACTGTAGGGAAGAAAATCAAATCCAGCAAGAATGCAGAGACGAGAAAAGGTAATGAAATCTATAATGCAAATGTTAACACTTACATCATGTAGAAACGTTCATGCTGTTATTTGCTTTATTTTTTACATTTGTTGTTGCTGCTTTCAGAGGAACTTTGTGAATATGTGCCCGGTATCCCAGAGCCAACAAGCAGAGCTGAGCTAATGCAGTGTAAGAGCTCTTTTTGTCTCGAGGTATTTGCCCAAGTGAGTATGTAAATACCAAAGTATTATGATTTATTTTGTTTTGTTTTCCACCCTAAACTAGACTGGAAAGATTTGACGTTGGATAAGAAAACTGCCAACAAGCTGTTGTGGATTTCTGATGACTGCTCTAAGGTAGTTCGTAAGACTAAGGAGGTCTGTCCTGTACTTGATGGACCAGAGAGATATGAATATTCTCCACAGGTAAATCAGAAAAATAAAGTACAATGAGAAAATGTAACTTGTCAAGAAATAAAAATGCTATTTTTTTATTTGTATCATCTTTTCTTGTTTTTAAGGTGCTATGCAAAGAGAGTATTTGGAACAGCAGAGCTTACTGGGAGGTTGAGCACTCAGGGTGGGTGGTAATTGGAGCCACCTACGAAGAAGCAGCAAGGAGGGTAGATCTTAGGCCAAGTGGTATTGGGGAAAATGATGAATCTTGGGGTCTGTGTTGGTCAGGAGTGCGTTACGAGATCTGGTTCAACTGCGCTCACCAAGACGTCAATGATGTCCCATTTAGCCCCGTTATTGGAGTATATATCGACCAGCCTGCAGGGATAATAACCTTTTACACTGTAACTGGTGAGGGAGCAGAGAAAGAGGTTGGGTTGCTGCATAAAATTAAAACTAGTATTGAGAAAAAAGTTCTTCCTGGTTTTTGGTTGGGAGTTCAATCCTCCTGCACTTTACTGAGGAGAACAGAAAAAGATGAATGAAATCAATGAGATGTATTTTAACCATTTTAACATATTCTGTATTTTCTGTCAGTTGTCATATTTAAATGGTTGAAATATTTTCTGTATTGTAACATTGAAGGCTAAATATGCTACTGACAATTAGATTTAAAGTTAATTCCATTTCTGTAGATCTTCTTAACTTAGTGTTTCATGATAGACAGTGGCATCTCAACCCAAGATTTGGGAACCACCGGAGATTAATGATAGTTAAGAGCTTCTGAAGTGGGTATCTACTGAAAGATTGTGAACAATTAATAACTTTAAAGTTGGGCTGCATGGTGGTCCAGTTGGTGGAGCTGTCACCTCAGTGAGAAGGTTGTCAGATTGAATCCCGGCAGCTGGAGATCTTTCTGAGTGGAGTTAGCATGTTCTCTCTGTGCATGCGTGGGTTTTCTCTGGGTACTCCGGTTTCCACCCAAGGACCAAAAACATGCATGTTAGGCAGATTGGTAACTCTAAATTGTCCCTAGGTGTGAGTGAGAGAGTGAATGGTTGTTTGTCTCGATTGTCTCCATGTAGCACTGTGATGGACTTGCGTCTTGTCCAGAGTGTCCCCACCTCTCGCACAGTGACTGTTAGGCATTGAGTACCAGCGGCACCAGTGACACCAGCGACCTCCTTGACCCAGAAAGGAAAAAGCGAGTAAAAATAATGTTTTTTGAACGTCCTCAATGTTGAATAATCAAGTTTCGGCCATATTGACAAGTTAACAGCTAACCAGAGCAGATTCAAGATCAAAGCAAATGACTGCTGTCTTTAAACAACTCCAGTCTCAAAAATGTCTTACTAATTTATTACTAATAAATAAATTTTAACTGCTTTCAGCTTTGAGAGGCTATTCTGACAAAAATATGAGAATATTCCCACTAGAAGTACCACCTGCTGCACCAAAAATGCAACAAATATCTGTTCTCTTTAGTTGTGCTCACAAAGAAACATATAATTACATGTCAATAACCACTTAATTCAAAACTAACAGAGAAATAAAGGTCCATAATGTTTTAATGCAGGATTTACAGTGACTTTTATGATTGAAGTTGCTTTAACATGACAACAATCCACTGTAGTCTTTACCCAACTCAAACTAACCGTTATATAATAAGAATTAAACTATTTTTCTGAACAGAGGCTGTTCACGGAGTTATTTATAACAAGATAAATACAAATTTTCCATAACCTTTCCGAAGGACCCCACTTTAAAAGATTTCCACTATCACTTTCAGAAGCCACTTTTTGATATGTGAGATGCTCCAGTTTAAAGATTGCTTTCTTTTCAGAGAAGAGGTCCTCTTTCACACCTAATGTAAAGCTTAAGCTTAGAGGGATGAAAGACGGAGCACGACCGTACACTCAAACCTCTGACACTCCTGCCGGCACAGTACATCACGTAATGCCATTCAACAAGTGCCCAGTAGAGCCTCAGTCAACGATCACACAAGTCATGCCAGCATTTCAAACATTTTAACTGCTTCAGTTGTCCCTGTACATTCTGAACAATGAAAGTCACATTTGGCGTAGCCAGCACTGATAAACGTGGGAATCATATCCTGAACTACAAGAAGGGCTCGAGATGTAATGATCTGTATCAAATCAGTTGTCTTTCGTAATAAATATGTTCTTTGTATTGTGACTTTTTCTTTCTGACCTTTCTAAAAATATATTAATTATAACTGTATGTAAAATCTGCTCCATTGTTTTAGAATACGTTTTAATTAAGTTTTATTTCGCCCATAAAGTCTGACTGACGTCAGAAATCTCTTATATGGTGATGTAATCAGAGCAGGGGTAATTCAGTGAACGCTATGTTTTTAAAATGTAATATGTGAGAGATATTGTATTATGTAATAATTATTTATTCATCAATAAATTACAAGATACTTGTGGATTTAATTGTCTACTCATCACCTATCTGAGTTAACATCTAAAGACAGACTAAGTAATTTTGAGTTGGAGGTCACATTGAATTTTTGATGATCAGTGTTGAAACGCAACAGATAATAAATAAAAAGCAGAAGATTGCTATGCATTAAAATATGAGAGCCACAAGTGGATCTGATTAGCAGAACTTTACGTCAGAAAACATTAAGCATTTAATAAGCTGAATCCATGTGACAGTGATTAAAATATAAGCTTCTGCTGCTGAATTAGAAAACATTGGGTAAGATTATGGCCCACATTTCAATTTTTTACATACAGTATATTATTATCCCAAATGTCTCTTTTTTTCATATTGCATAGTGATTTCACAAGATTTGGATAAAAGAAACCACTATAATTGCAAGACAGTTACAATCTATGATGAAATTCATGGTTTCATGCATTCATTTAGCCAGTTTTACAGAAATAAATGGAAAGTTATCTAACTTTATTACACTTTGTAATTGTGAATATTTTAAAACTATGTCAGGCTTACCATATTCTGTAATTAAATACACTATTACACCAGTAAAGTTTTATTTTAGTTTTGATCTGGAATCAATAAAGTAGGTTGGCCGAGCATTTAATGTTCTACCACGAAAAAATAAATATATAAATATATATATATATATATATATATATATACATACACATAGATAGATAGATAGATAGATAGATAGATAGATAGATAGATAGATA